CCCAGCCCTCATCAATCGCTACAATTTGTTTTGTAATTTGTTTTAAACAGAAAAATATCTACATGATTTTTGTAGATACAATGAGCTCATATCATACATTGACTTCTGAAATATGTTTGTATAATAATAATATTTTGTAAAGCACAGAGTAATCAGATACATCTACATCATAATTCACGTTTATCTGATTTCATACGAGTGAGGTTTGAATATGACAACTTATCCGTTTGGCCCCTTGACCACTTATTCTAAACTCTCTTTTAATGGTCACCTCTGGTGGCGGGAGAGCTAAGGGAACAACAGGCTGTGGTTGGTTTGCCACTTTTGTTGTTAGCTTTGCTATTTCCTCTTTAATCTTTTTAACTGAATCCAGAACACTTGTTTTTGTTTGCTTGCCAGTGCCTCGGTGTCCTGATTGATGCCTGTTGCCACCATCTGTGGCATCTGGTCGGATTGTGTAGCATTTTTAGCATACGAGATTAGCGTTAGCAGAAATGTGCGGGCTACTTCCTCATCTTCATTTTCAATAACCTTTTCCGTCTCTTCACTTATTATTCTTATCAGAGTGTACTTTTTGGAAGGCTTTACCATTTCAATTTTAGCAAAAGAACACAGTTTGTGTAGCTGTTCTGGATGAAGCTGCACTAAGGCCTCGCTTAGCTGGTCTTGTAGCTGCTCCAATTCCATAATATTCCTTTTTCTGTGGATTCACTGTCTTTCGAGGCACAGCTGAACCATGCTGTGCTACCAAGTTTTGTTGCACTTTTGAAGAAGAAGAAGAAGAAGCTTTCTGTTGGTTTTCAGTGGATTTTATTGTCCTTTTTCCAGCAACACACAACACGTTTATTTTAACTTGTGCATGTTCACCAACACACACCCCTCTCTTTTTCGACCAGAGGCCTCTGCTCCAAAAAAAAAAAAACATGCTCAAAACTGGCGAACGCCACCGAGTGACACAACAGTGCTACTTCATGCCTTTACATGCTTACTTTAATTACTTTTAGACTAAAACCAAACTAAGGAAGGAACTAATAGGAAGCAAACAAAATAAAGTATTTGGGGGGTCCAAAAGAAACCTCAAGGACATCTACTTTTCCCACATTCTACTAATACAGAAAAATGACAGAACAATGAAGGAATTCAGTTTTTCACATTGTTATAACACATTTAAAAAAGTTACAAAAAAGAAAATGGTTTTCAGTTACTGTTCATACTGTGATATTATACATTCATACTGTGTAATGAATCATTTGCAGAGGATTATGCATTGGTGATTGATTGATTATGATGATTGTTGAAGTGAGTGATGAAGTGATTGATGCATTATGCATTATTCATTGGGAAATCTGGGAAATGAAAAGACATTGTTTTAAAATGTCTGGTCCTGTAATTGTAGTTGAATTCTGTAGTCTGTCGGTCCTGGTGGCTTAGGTGTACATTGAAATGTACATCCACTGAAAATAAAGAAAGATTAACTTGTTTCAATCTTTTTTCAAGTTTTAATTTTCTTTTTAGATGTGTGAAAGTTTGTAACCATAAACTACTGACAAGAAGACTATGTTTTGGTACCTCAGACTCTCGGAGATTCATGGTTTTTCCATCAGACAGTTGTTTGAAGATTTCTGTTGAGCAACACACAACGTGTAAGAAAAAAAAAGTATCTCTAAGAATAAAATGTGTATTTTCAGCTGCTTGTATTTTAACATTGTAGCATGAGCATATATTTTAATTTACAAGACAAGAGTTATAAATATTTACTGTGGAGAAAACAATTGTTACATGCTCCTTCACTTACTGTACATGCAGTCCAAGCGAAGGATGAGACTGATGAAGTTCTCCAGGGTTATGTGCCCAGATGAAGCTCCGTAGCGCACAGCCATCAAATTCAGCATGCCATCACTGACCCTCCTTTCTGACAGACACACAATAACTCAGAGTTTGTAAATTTATTTCATTGTTGTAACATCTTGGTGTGATATTATGTGTTTTACACAAAACAAATTTCCACTCACACAACTTGCCACAAATGCATGACAGTAGTGAGTCAAACTATTAAAATTGTATCAAAATTGTATTTAATATCTATAAGAATGAATTCTTTTTCATCTGATTTTGAATATTAATGCAGTTAATCACACATTCTTTTAGACAGGCTCTTGCAAATTCTGTTACTTTTATGTTGTACTGTAGTAATCACACTGCTGCTGCTACTACTACAAACTTTCTGTTGTATACAATTCCATAAATTTACAATCAACAGAAAACAGGAAGTCCAAGTTGGTATACCTAAAGCAATGAATGCATTTCTCAGATCACTCAGTGACACCGTTCCTGTTCTGTGAACATCAATGTGGAAGAAAATGTTCTGGTAAAAGAAGAAAACATGACAGGAAAATGTTCAGGAAAATCTTCTGTAATGCTGGTTGCATCTTAAGGGTACAATGAACAGGCTGCTATACAATAATGTGTTAAACATTAAAAATATTTATCTTACAATGTGAAATGTTTAACGTGGTCTTGGATCCACTTACCTTGTACATGTCAATCTTCTTCCACAGATGGAAAAATTCTCCACTGTTGAGTTTGCCTGTGATTGATGTCTTTTTAGCTCAACATTAAGGTAACAATGTTTTCATGTACAGCACCTGTGCTTTATGTAACTGCAATCACTGTGCCATATTTTTCTGTAGCATTTAAGTAGTTTGAATAGTGAAAAATAAAATGAAAATTATATATACACATTTATTTATTTACATTGTTTAAGTCATACCAAATCATCAGTAATCATGTTTATCACAACAGGATACATCCATCAGAGCAACCATGCTGCGACAGGCATCAATAGTGAAGTGACCAGATTTTAGGTCTTCTAAATAAAACAGAAAAATTATTGTCAGAAGCATATGACATTTATATGGCACTTAAAAAAAGATTACAATGTATTTTAATTTTTATTGAGTTCTTATTGGGCTTGTCAAGCCTGTGAAGAGTTTCACAATCCAAACCTTTCAGGATCTTGTTTAGAAGCCTCTGGAGCTGCTCAGCATCTACTTCTTCATACTGGAAACAAAAAGAAAACAAGATAGAAAAAACTGTTCCCATGTCCAAGAAAATGCTCTTTCTGTATGTATCTAAAACATGTGGGTTGCTATGACTGTTGATCTTTTTTGATATTTTAACTCAGTGCAGGACAGTACACCAGCAAAGACTTCACAACAAGCTGACCATCATACACATGTGACACAGTATGGTGTTATAAAATCGACTGTGGCCCATTTACACATCCTGTCCACATACAGGGCAACGGTAGCATTGCTTTGATATTGTTTCTGCTCATCAAGTCCAATATTCACTCTGTTTTTAGCTGTCTTTTGGCATTCCCCAGCTCCTGAGGGAAATGTAGTTGCTATATGCTCACTATGTTTATTAGCTAGTTGCTAACTTTGTATGACTTTGATGCTGTGAAGGCAAGGTACAGTGGATTTTTAGAGATTTAGAACTATAAATAATTAGGGCAAAAATGCAAAACGGAGGGCTGAAAAACCAAAAGAATGAGCTGAAAGTCTGCTAAACCCTCTTTAAAAAAGCTAAGTTAGCTAAAATGATGTTGGTGAGACATGTTAGTGAGAAATTACCTTGTCAGAGTATTGGAGGAAAATGGATTGCTTTGGTCCATCATTCTGTGGATTTCTGATCTGGAGCTGAGATTTTAAAGTAGAAGAGAAAGTAAGAGAGACATTCAGTCATTTTAGCCTAAATAAAACTAGCAAAACACATTTCACATAATACTGACAAAATATAATTAAAATGTAACATAATAGAAACAAAATAAGTTAACCCACAATACTGTGATATTTTATAATGTGCCTACCTTTTGAACTGACTCATATTTGTGGTCATAAGAACGCTCACTGTGAGGAATAGACCAAAAACATTCCACATGGGATTGATGCCTTTCGTTCTTTCTTAATACAAAGCAAATAACATCTTATATATGTCATGCGGAATATTTGGGTCATTTTGCATCTTTGTCTGCTCATTTCTTGATGACAGATAAGACAAACAGTGAGAGAAGCATTGTGTTGAGAGAATGAGCATACCTGACATGGGTCTCTGCCTTGGAGTGGATGAACAGGATGAAGGAGGCTGTCTCATTGGGCTTCTCGGTGGATGGCACAATCAGGTATTCACCAGGTGTTAGCAAAAGAAACATCATCACCTCCCGTGTTTTATTGTAGGTTTTAGCCAGAGGTGCGTGGGTGTTGAAGAAAGAGCTTGGAAGCATCCCCCTGTGAGCCTCATACTGTAATAATAAATAGATTTCTCTTCAGTTTGTATCATTTAAAACAGCTGCATACTGTAAATGGAAAATGTAAAACAAGGACTGGGATTCAATTGTTTTTTACTTGTTCAGGCACCGTGTAGAAAATCAGTGGAAGAAGAGTTCATGTTGGGGACAAAAAAGCAATTACTTCAATTAATAACCATCACATTTTCAATTGAGATAATGAAATGATTATTATAGGCAAATAAATACTTACAGAAAATGAAAAGCTGAGCAGGACACAAATCTGCTTTTGTTGTTACACTGCCCCAAAAAAGTTGCATGGACTTTGACTTTGGTTTTCCATTTACTGTGTTTACTTTGTTTTACTGCAAATTGTCTAAAAATGGCTCTCCAAACAAAATAGTAGTTGGGGGATTGCCAATATTATAGTGACAATTTACACATTTAGAGTTAAAATCTGAAACTTGGAAAATGCTGCATCATCACTTTGAAAAGTTCGAATAAATATTCTGATATTGTTTTCTCATTGTTTAATTCCAGTTGTGATCCTTAAGATTTTTATAAATCAAATCCTGTTTCTGATACTTTTTATTGTCAGCATAGCATTCAGTGTTTTTACATTATGTAAAATTGTATCATGCATGAAAGATTCACAGATGCATTGTACAGTATGTAATTGTTTGTTACTATTGGAACTTTTGTCTCATTGATCAGCCTTCATGTTTACTTTTCTTATACAGATGGATTAAAGTTCTGTTTTTTTTTAACCTTTATTTGTTCAGGGTAGGTCCACTATCGCTCATTTTCAGTAACACCCTGTTCACAACCACACAGTCATACATTCACACCTGGAAGCTGACCAGTACAACCACACTCTGACCCACTGGCCATTGAGCAGCTCCACTCAAACAGTTATGATTAATAGCCTTGGGCATCACAGTGAGGGCAGTGGAAGCACTGGTTTGTCATCTGTCCCCGCCCAGATATAATATTGCCGGTAGCAGCTTAATTGCTTCGGTAACTACCACTGGCAACCACTGCCTTATTCAGTAATTGCTAAGAAGAACTGAACAATACCTATCACCGCTTCACATTAAAAACATTCAAATGATAAACACAGGATGTGTTTTAGATTTACTGCAGCAGTAATATTTTAGTGCATTCAACGTGATGGCATGAAAAGCTCAAAACTGTGGCCTACATTAAAGTTTCATTGTTGTTTTTCTCTTAAACTGAAAACAACTGCTACTTTCCATGTCTACTGTATACATGACACACAGTATCCATTGTAGTCCACAGACTGTGACAGAACCAACGAAGAGCAATGTTTACCTTAAATACACAGAATCCAATGTTGCGAAGGTGGACCTTGTGTCGGTTCCTCTTGTCGGGCTTTTGCATAAGAGACACCAGTATGTTATAGTCGCCATGTTTCTCTGAATACTGACCATCTATCTTGACCCGATACTGTGGATTCGTACAGAAACTGTCTGGTAGACAAAGCGAGAGATGAGGTTCATTTACATTGTGCCATTCTGAGTGACTGCACTGAAAGATGCAGATGAAAACAAGGTTAGATGAACATCAGTCTCATCAAGCTTGAATCAGTTTATTACTGATTATATTCAGTTTGTTACTGATTATGCTGTAGTTTGTAGTTATAGACTATTTGTGAAATATTTATGTTCTGTATTATATAATATGCAAAGTCAAATCAGTCAAAGTCAGTCAGTGAGTTGGAGTTGTGTATTTCAATTACACTACTATGACATTTTACTGTCCTGTTTTTATGCCTCAGTGTTGGCCACAGCTGTGGCTGGAGGCATTGTGTTTTTGGACTGTCCATCCATAGGCACATCTGTACACCTCAGTACTGCCTTGAGGGAGTTTCTTCAAATTTGGCACAAGTGCCCACTCGGACTCAAGAGTGAACTGATTAGATTTTGGTGGTCAAAGGTTAAGGTCACTGTGACCTGGTTGGCAGAGACATACAACCATGAGGTTATAGTCTTCTGCATCTTCTCACAGTTCTCACAGGTTAACAATTTTACAATCAAGTGATAGTTGATCACAGATTTTGTATAAAATTTGAGAAAAGTATTATTAAAGGAAATAATGTTAATGCTTTACTAAATTGTTGCCTAGTTGGACCTACTGTAACAGTAAAGATGTTGCTGCATTGTGAGATCTTAGCAGTTACCTTGGTGAGTACATCATTATTATATACAGTATGAAAGAACTGATGGCTCATGGAGCTACAAAATAAAACAAAAAAAAAGTTTCATGGTCGCACTAAATAACAACACACTACTGTAGCCACACAAAGTGAGTTATTTATAGAGATCACCATTGATAACTTTGAGCCATTTAAATCAGGCACCGGCAGTGCCTGTGGAAATGCCAGGCCATAAGAAATGTCTTCCAAACTTTGAGACAGCCCATAGTTACCTATGTGAACTCATCAGAACTAAGCATATAAGATTAACAAGGAAACTTGTGTTTCCATGTACAGTATGTTACAGATAATGGCTGTTTCCTAAATCACTTCAGTGTTTGCAGAATCTCTCAGCCCTATTCAAACACAAAGCTTCTTCTTTTATATCATAGGTCTTTTTTTTTTTCCTTTTTTTTTTAAAATAAGTCTAGATATTATGGAACCACCTTTATTTTGTATGCATCCTCCAGCAGAAATTCCTGCAATCCATTTGCCCTCATATATGGATGTCTCCCAGGGAGAGTTGCTATCAAGGAAATCTGGACTCGAGCAGCAGATATCAAGTACCACATAGGATTTACAGAAGTCTTCCAGGTTCATCCTGTTGAAATCAGAGAGCTTCGATATTATGTTTTTCTTCTGGGTCTGATGCTGCATTGAAACACTACTCCAAGTACAGTATTTAAAAAAAGAAAAGTTTTTATGGTTTTATCAGTTGAGGCAAGTTAGATGAAATATTTTACATGCATCTGTCCGTCTCTTTGTTGTAAAGCAATGCTGTTATTGTACACAGTAACAACTACAAATAAGCAGATAATTAAAATGAAAGATATTAAGTGTGAGTAGGGCAGTTAACATTCAGATGCTTAGACGTTTCTCATATTTTGTTATGGTTGAGGTCTCTTCACCAGGAGGGTGAGGGAGAACTGAGGCAGGACTCAAGTATGCTGACCCAGGTGCTAGGGGACAAAAAAAAGACGGTTTACTGGTAAAAGAACACAAAGTAACAAAAGAACATAAAGTCCAAGTACGTATACAGTCCGGGTAGAGTTGAGATGGTGGAGGAGATCAGAACAAACAGGTGAACCGTGGGACTGACAGCAAAATCCAGGAGAGCGGGAGGATGAGGACGGACAGGTGAAGAAACAAAAAGAGGCGAACGACAAAAGAAAAGCAACCGCACAGGAACTGTCAGCGGGAAAAAGCCTAATGCCGCTTCGCTAGACTCAAACACAAAACATACCACGAGATCCACCGCACAGGAACTGTCAGCGGGGGAGTCTCCATAAATCCAACACAAAACATATAACCGACGTACAAAATGTAGTCCACAGCACAGGAACTGTCAGCGTGGAAATCAAAAATCACGTATAACACATATCACGACTAACGACTGTTAGTGGGTATGTAACTGTTTACATTTCATGTATAATGCTCCAGTGACAGCGGAGCTGTCTGCCAGAGGTATAAATAAGGAGGGCGTCAATCAGCGGGATGCACCCCAGCTGTGTGCACCGACAAACAAATCGCTAATTGCGAATGCAACACAGCTGAGGTGCGAATCCCGCAGGTCGAGAGAACAGAGGAGAGAGAGGTGGAAGAGAGGCAGGTCGCGCCAAGCGGACCTGATATATTTGACCAAATCTGCTTACCAAAACTCTCCATTGTTGCGCACTTCAAGGCACTGCGCACGATCCTGAGCACTCACGGTTTGCCATCGAGATGACCTTGAAGACAATAATGAAAACAATATTGTTTATCGTTACCTAAATAAACAATATTTAGTTAAAAGACTTCATCTCAGAGAATAGCTAAAATATTATTTACATTTTTAAATTTTGGATAAAGTTGGTGTGTAGCACAGTGGAGCAGTAGTTATCTATGTGGCCTCACAGTAGGAAAGCTCCTGGTTTGAATCTACAGCCGAATGGGGCCTTTGTGTGTGCAATTTTCATGTTCTCCCCATGCCTGTGTGGCTTTTCTCTGGGTACTCTGGCTTCTTTCCACAGTCCCAAGACTTGCAGGTTAGATTATCTTATTTTTTAATCTGATAAAATCCAATATGCTCATGGCAATGATGAATCTTCCATATCCACAAAAGTTCCTCAGGGTTCTGTGCTAGGTCCAACTCCCTTTGCTTTATAATGCTTCTCTTAGGCAATATTATTAGGAAACATTGCATACATTTCCAATTGGTCAAGGCAGATGGCTGCTCGGCAAGAGCCTGGTTCTGTCTGAGGTTTATCTCCAATTAAAGGGATATTTTCCTTCCCACTGTCACCAGGTGCTTGCTCAAGGGGGATTTGTTGGGTTTCACATTACTTTGTGAAAAAAAAAAAAAATCAAAGAACAGGAGTTGTTTTTACCTATCACTCCAGTCTCCCTTCCACTCTCCATGGCCCCAGGGGTTCCACAAACGTACCAGGTTTACAACTTGCCTTTGACTTAATATCTGAGCAGTAATCATTCCGGGAGAATGCACCATTAATATATACCATACTTGAAAGAAAGCAATAAATTATTCCATAATTAATATGCAAAGGTACTGTATGATAAAGTAGAAACTTAAAAACATATCAGCTAGAGTAGAATAGCTGCTGTAATATTGTTTGTATGATTATTATCACAAAACTGCAATTTAATTTACTTCCAATTCCAAGAGCATTTTCCCAAATGTAACTCCTCACCTGTTTGACCCCAGTGACAGTGTAAGCATGGCCCGAGACCAACCCATTTGGTAATTCATTGTTGGCATATGTTTTCTAGAAGCCAAAGACATTTAAGATTACTAAAAGTAGACTGATCATTTTCAAAATAACAAAGCTCTATTAATATATGCTCTTGTCAGACAGCCACAACCCGTATGGCAAGTTTCATATGGTTGATGAGGGTAGTAGAGTTAACATCCATGACTACCACTAACAAGCTCATGTCTTACTATGTTTACTGTTTGCTGACCAGTATTAGACGTGTGTACTATTAATGAAATGGCTGTGTGCTTGAAAATGGTGTTCAGTGACTTTTTGTCTTCTTCATTTGTATGATAATTTCCCAGAAGTTATTCTAAACATATTAGGTGTTGCTGAGCAACAAACTCATATTAATGTGCTGATTGAAGGAGACAGCAGGATCAAATGTAACACCAAGATCAAAGTCGTAGCCAGCAGGTGGATTTTGGGTTTCAACCCAAGGTTTAAACACCTTGGTGTCATCCATACTTGACTGTGACTCAGGCTGTGGTTGTTGGAGGCACCTGGAAGTTACTGATCTTCTCAGATCAAATTTTTCATATATGTTTATAATCTATATTTATGTCATTCTAAAAGGGTTTTTCTGGGGGAGTTTTTCCTTATCCCTTTTCCTTAGTTGACTTTCTGTGCCTATTTGGGTGCAGTGAATCTGAAATATTAGCTACAGCCCTTAGAACACCTCTTCACTAGAGAAATGTACAGTACCTTCAATTTCAATCTGTCTTTTTCTCCTATAGTTGAAATTAATGTATTGCGTTGTGTGGTATGTTTATACTTACCCCCTGAGGTGTATGATGTGTACCACATCCCATTAGAGTATGATATTTGCCAGCTCTGTTCATCAGGTCCCACAGGTTTGAAGGGGGTTGAGATAACTGGATACACATGTGAACACCACCAGTAAAGTCCATCATAGCCTCTGAAAGACTTCCACCGCTCAGGTCGCTATAGGAACCACACACCCTGACACAAGTGAATGCAACATGATTCATACTCCAGAAATAAGACAAAACTCATTTATGTCTGAAAAAAAATTCTTTTCTTTTTATACTTTGCATATGCTTTCTCCAGTAAAGCAGGCCAGAATTCATTTCGGTTTTTGGAATGGACAAAGATGAGTTTGCCATAGATTGTCGGTAGCTTGTCATCAATAACGACATCCACCCATTTCCCAAATCTCCAGAACTAAATGGTAAAAAAAAAAAGAGTATCAAAGTGGTATTTTAATATAAAATCCATTTATTGCCAAATGACTACAACCCATAGACATCAGCTTGGATACAGCAGTTGATAAATCAGTCTCTTGTCAGGGTCCACACGATAGCTGATCTAGATCATGGAATATTTTTGTGACAACTGAGCAAACACTTCAGCTGATGAACGTAATGTAATATGCTCAAACCTACAGAATAGCTATTACATTCACTCTGTGGTGAGCGTTTTGTCACCTCATATTGTTTCATTTTATTGTATGTTTTGTAGTAAAGTCAAAACAATAAAAGGTGTGTCACAGTCCTTTCATAAATTATGATGATGGCATTCCAACACATATAGTACTCAGCACATTAGGGCTGCTCCATAAAAGTCAACTAGTTGAATCATTTGTCGAGAGACCTGTCAGTCGACTGACACTCTTCTATTTGAATTCTCAGCTGGGTACAGCCCTACAGCACATTATATTAGAGTGTGATTTCTGCCAGTGTTCAATGACAATAATAACCAGGCTTCCAGTTGATATTTACCCTGAAGTGAAAGAGTCCACAGTAGTCTTTATCAAATGTTTGCTCAAGACGGACAACCCACTCTAAGAAGTGTCTCTGGCATGTCAGAGCTCCAATAGAGGCAAGAAACCAGCAGTCTCCTGAGTAAAAAGACATTTGTTGAGTTGTCAGAAAGACAAGTAAGCACAACAATAATGCCTTATGAATGAAGCAATTTCCCTACCAAGCTCTCCTTGACCAAAGTCAAACCTTGAGGCACCATCAAGCACAAAGGATGGATTAGGTGCAATTTCCTGAAACAGAGCATTAAAGATGCTAAATAAATACAATTAGACTTTAAAAAGTTGAGAGAGTCACAGTTTTTAAAACTCAATACAATATCTGGCCAAGAAGAGAACCACTCCTAGTAGACCACAACTAAATAAAATGAATATCCTAAAATTACCACCACACAGTGAGTGTGCACTGCACTGAGATTTCTCACAAGCAGCAGTTTTTATATATACAGTACTTGGTAATATGGACATTTTAGGAAAGAGCACCATTTGTCAAGATATTCTATAAGTGTAGTGAGTTTTTATAGTTTTTCCTATATATGTACTTTAGAAAGGAAATTAATTGATCTGAAGCCTATTATAACAGTTTTTCTTGTTGACTTTAGCCCATTCCTTGAAACATCACTATCATTCAAGTTTACATTTGTCAAAATAGTTTATACATGCAGCACAGTAGAGCACCATAGTGCATCAGCAAAAGAATATGCCTCACCCAAAACCTTTAGCGCATCTTTGAAAAACAAGACATCTACCTGTACTTGGACTGTGGGAGGCAAATTTCTCAATTACAGGGAGGAGATATTATGTAAACATTATTCAAACCGGCCATACAGGTTGAGTTAGAGACTTGTCGTGAGTTAAAACTGATAAACACTGAATCATTATAAGATGTTACTGTAGGTTTGAGCCATAGCTGAATCGGCCGATTAAACATTTATGATGGTACAGTATCTCCTCTGTGATTTAACCCCACCAAAACACTCACCGCTGGTCTCTTCCACTCTACACAGGCCAGCTTAGAAGGCTCCAGTAACCCTTCACCGATGGAGCTCCTGTCAGGGGGGAACATATCATCTCTGTACCTTTCTCTTTTCTGGAGACAGTGCTGTTTCAGCTGCTGATAATCTTGGTTAAATAACCTCGCAGGCTGGGCAATGCTCTCATTGTAGCGAGCCTCCATGATGTTCAGACAAACACCAGGGGGAGGCATTGCTGCAGTGTCTGGGCTTGACTAAGAATCAAAAGATCCACAATTATTTAGACATTCACAATGAAAATTAGAGAGACACAGATGCAGAAGGAAGAAATGAAGGAAACAAGTGTCTCAGTAAAGTGTTGAATTAAGATCACTTAATATAACATTTATCCTAATGACAACTCTGGTATGGATTGCATACAGTACACACAGAAGTCTTTTAACATTTAAATGTGGGCTGCCTGGTTTCTTGCAACAAAAAGCATTGCCCTAGGTCAGTATGCCACAAACTGCTAAATTGTGAAATCTGAATCAACTAATGGCTTTTGAAGACCTTACCTCACTGGCTCGAGAGAAAAAATGTGTAGTGCAGTAAGGACCGAAGTCAAATCAGCAAGTAAGAACAAAGAGGCTGACACTTAAATAATGCCTGTACCATGCCTCAGGCATACCAGGGTTGGATGGTGCCTTCTTACCTATAGATAGTTTTTCATCAAGTAAACCCCGCCTTTGTTCACCTGCAGTATATTCCTGTAGCCTATTGTAAGACAGAGGGAGAGACTCACAAAGCGAGGTTGAGTTTCACTTAAAAACACCTAGCAGCTCATATTTATCGTATAGTCTTTAACCAGCTCATTATGTGTCCATTGCATGCACGTTTATCTTCACAGCAGCAGAGTGGTTGTCAGGGATGAACAAACAAGTATTAAAGCTGTCACATGGATAGCACTGGTTGGTTGCAAACTCAAGGTGTTGGCCGCCAGTGTTTACAAAAGGTTGGGTCTGTTTATTCTTACATGAACCTTCAATACCCTGATACTGACTATTTGTGTTTCGCTTATTATTAACACCACTAAGTGAATATGCAGCTCAAAGTCCATCTTGACTAAGCTGTGGTCAATTTAGTCAGCAAACTCATAAATTCTTACATCATAACTCATTGGCAATAATCTCCTAACATATCCATAATCATATGTGTATCAGGAATAATCATTAACTGTGTGTAAACTTAGTTATGAGTCCAAAACTCTCTACCTGTTAGCAAACATTTGATATTGTGCTTGAACAGACACTCAGGTTTTCAAACTATTGAACAAAAACATCAAATTAAAAATCTTCACTAACTGTACTGTCTGGTACTACAGCATATGGCTTAATATGAACAGGGCCTTACTTTGAAAGGCAGGCTTAAGTGAAACTAACCATTGCTGCTTATGAGAAAAATAGGTCACTGCAGTGTAGCAGTCATTGTGATTACTAATGTTTCACTTTTTATATATAACAATGTAATATCCTACTGTACCATTGTTCAGCATTTTCTTGCTGTTGTCAGTTGATGTTTGTTTTAATCACTGATTTATTCTGTCATTAATATAATGTCATTTGCCTTCTTTCTCCATAGCACATAAACTTCTGTATTCTGATAAATACAATAAAATACAATTTTGCCTTTCCCCCACTGAAGGTGTTAGTGTAATATTGCAACATTTTTATTTCTCCTATTTTGACTTTAAAAACACTACATTAAATTCTGACCAAAAAGATTTATTTCATCTTTCTCACAATGCTGACCTATATGTCTCATGATACATGTGCAGCTAACAGAAAGAACTCTGCAAGCTGCTGCTTGAATTGCAGTGTAAGCAGAAACTTTCTTTTGCTGACAGCCTTGAGGGCATCTAATTTTAATTTTAGACTTGGATGTCCCCAGATTAGTTTACACTTTGCCACTAGCATTTTAAGCAGCCAGCTACGATTGCTAAAAGGAAGGGTGCAGTTTCATCCAAAGGAAAATGGCTGAACCTGCTTAATTGTGTACATGTTCATGTGAGCTACTGAGTGAAAAGAATGTAACAAATTGATAGTAGTAAATGATTTACCTATGTCACCACTTTATGGGAATCTGATAATTGAGGAAGTTCTATGCTTGCATTCTGTTTGAATTAATCGCTGGTGAATTAGAAGGGAAACATATACATTTTCAGTGTATCATTCATCATCAACTGCCCTTGCCTAGCAACACTTTTCCCCATTTGTAATCATGCATTGCCTTAAGCACATTACTGTGCATCTAATTAATGTTCACATTCTTCTATGAAGCAAAACCCCTTAGGTAAGTTTCCAGTAACACTCTTGTCACTGGTAGCACAAGGACCGTGATTTTCCTTCTTTTTCCCACTGAGCATGCATACATTGGCCTAAACACAGACACACAAATACACAAGTCATTGTTTATTTCTGATATGGCTCCAAATAGACTACCAAGTAGGATTTAAATGATATACTGTAACCTTTTTCTGGGAATTCCTAAAAACTAGCACTAAGGACAGGCAAGGTGTTAACCTGATAACAGTATCTTGTCAGAAATGAAAGGCTCTGTTTGCAGAGATTCTTCCAGTAGGCTCTGTTCAACTGCCTGTATTAGCTCAGTGGGTGTAGGAGTGGCTTACTCTATATCCTGTGATTGTAGTTGTGGCACTTCCTGCATTTAAACAAACAGAGGAAATGTCTGGATTTGCATGAATCTCCTAGACACTTGTCACCCAAAACAACACACTCAGCCTACTTAATCACACACAGGTGATACATAAGTGTGTGCAAATCCACTGTAAAGAAACAAAAGTGTTATTCAGTTCTTTCTCCCACTCAAAGTGACTGTTTCAGTTCAGTTTGATTATCTATCCTTAAATCAAACACTGAATCTGAAGCACAAACTTTGCAATGACTTACAAAATGTACACACTGATCATCCATAACATTATGACCGCCTGCGCACACTGGAGTCGATGTGGCAGGTGGTTGGCACTCGCAAATCTGTTTGCTTCTATAGTTACACTGTCTGAAAGAGCACAAGTGTTTCTAAAACATGCGTAAAAGGAGTGAAAACTTTGGTCGTTAGGACAAGTTAGAGAAACTGAATGTTCACTTGCTGCCTGATGTACCCCACACACTGACAGATGCCACTGTAATGGGATAATCACTGTTATTCACTTCAACAGTCAGTGGTCATAATGTTATGGTTGATCAGTGTATAGAAAAATTGTATTATTATTAGTTCTTAAATGTATTTATTGAAGGTCAATATGAGGCCTATATTTAAAAAAAAAATTAACCTTAAAAGATAATGGCACCTTAAATGACTAAATTGTAATATGGCTTGTTTTGAACAATTGATGTGAACATTTACACCGTCTTCTTTTTTACTTTCTTTATGAATACAAAAACAATGATTCTTGTTAGACTTATAAGGCACATGTTATACTACTCTATATAAAATACACTCATACTCATCTCCTACTGTAAGACAGCTTGAAATTGGGCACTTCACTGACAGAAGTAAATAATAAAACTTGTGATCATATGGGTAGTGGCAAAATCATTAATAATGCTCCAATAAATAAGAAAATGTAGCAGGATGCAAAAGTCACTGTGTAAATCCTCAGTGTCCATTTGTAATGTCAAAATGTCTCAGGAGACTCTGGCTCTTGCACATTCATGCATTGTAAGGCACCACAATTAAGGGAGTCAGCTTAAGTGCCTAAGGCTGAGGCCGGAGACATCTGGAGAACCAGTCAAAACATTGCAGAGCCTGCCATTGTTTTCTGATTCAAAACGGAACTGGCCAGTGGGGGAGAGAGAGAGAGTCCATAGCCACTGCTAAACATGATTTCCGTCTTTAGATTGTGTCCTAAACAGGATACAGGAGCATGACTGACTCACACCACTTGTTTTTTTGGCTACGAATGGACAACAACGTATTGGTCTCATTTTACCCCAAAACTCCCAGAACCCTTCTGAAGGAACTAATTCATTGATTTCTATGGCAATTATGTTTTTGATTTTTCTACTGCAGTTCATCAATAGCTTTGAGGGCTTAACTGGAGCTGAACATGGGACGCTGTGCACTTCTAAAGCCTGCTTCACCCTACATATGGACAGAGTGAGCTTTGATGTGGCACGTAAGAACTGTGTCCACAATGGAGGCTATCTGATGACAGTCAGAGACAGAGAAGAAGAGGATGTGCTACACTCAGTTCTCTCACAGATCCAAAGACAACGTCAGGACAGGCCACTTAAATTATGGATTGGATTAAAACTACACAAAGGAAACTGTGTGTTGTCTGACAAGACTCTCAGGGGGTTTGAGTGGGTATCTGGAGAGGAAGACTCCCACTACTCCAACTGGGAAAAAGAACCTACCGGCACCTGCACAGAGGAGAGATGTGTAAGGGTTCGTTACAATTCATCAGCTCAAAACCAAGTGAAATGGACAGCTAGATCTTGCAAAGTCCCTGAATTTTATGCCTGTAAGTTTTATTTTAAGGGAATGTGTAAACCGTTGGCTCTGCTGGGACCTGGAAAAATAACCTACACAGCACCCTTCTCAGAAAAGCCGCAAAGAAGTGAAATGAAATTATTTCCACTCGGAACATATGCTGATATTTTATGTAGTGACCAACAGTCTCACTACTCTGTGTGCATGGGGGTGGATGACATGTTTCACTGGAATGTCCCTGGTCCATTTTGCAAAATAGTAAAGCAAAATTGCACCGTCAGCAATGGTGGATGTGAACACCTGTGCCATCAAGACACGGATCAGGTTCAGTGCCTTTGCAAAGAAGGCTATGACCTGGATGAGGATGGACTCTCTTGCAGGATGAAAAACTTGTGTGGTGCTGACACCTGTGAGCACGAGTGTGTAATGGGGAAGTCAGGATATTTCTGCAAATGTTCACAGGGGTTCAAACTGGATGAAAACCAGCACAGCTGCTCTGAAATTGATGAGTGCCAGTTGCATGTCTGTGAGGATCATTTGTGTATAAATACGCACAACAGTTACACATGTGTGTGCAAAGATGGCTACGAAATGGTTGATGATAAATGTAGTGATGTCGATGAATGCACACAATCAAGATGTGAACATGCCTGCTTGAACAGTGTCGGATCCTACTCCTGTAGCTGCAATGAGGGTTTCTCTTTATCTCAAGATGGCCACTTGTGTACAGATATAAATGAATGTGTCAGCAATCGCTGTCAGTTCACATGCGTCAATACTGTAGGCAGCTTCTTGTGCACCTGCCCACAAGGCTTCTACCTGAAGACAGATGGACTGAATTGCGCTCCGGATGTGACAGAAACATCAGCTGCTTCATCAGATGACTCACCTGATGAGGAAACACAAGATAATGTTACAGAGTCTCTAGTCAGAACCACAGTGGAGCTCCAGCACCAGTCCCCTCACATTGATGCACCACGTCCAGGTTTGGTGAATGTTACGCACAGTGATCAGCAGAAAAACACATCCATGACCACAAGGGTTGCCAAGTCTGTTAGTTCCAAGGTGATTATCTGTGTCCTCGGTTCAGTCATTCCTCTGCTCGTACTAATCGCAGTGACTCTGACTATTGCAATCTTCCGATGCAATCGCTCCAAAAAAGAAGCCAAGAAAACCACCACTGCAGACGGCTACTGTTGGGTGTCCTCTGGTTTGGATCCACGTTTAGAGAAACTATACGAGTCTATTTTGACTGATGACCTATGACCTAACAGTGATGGATGAGACTGTTTTCATAAATTAGTGTGTTTATTTATGTAATTTATGATGTTGCAACCTCTCTGTTAGGAAAAATTTCAAGAAAAAAAAACTTTGTCCATCACATTTCTTTGACGTGGCTCACAAAGAAGACATAGTACACATATACAGTAGAAACATATTGGTTGTAGAAAAAACAAACAAAAAGGTAAAAATGTGGCTGTGAAAGTGTAGATATGTACAGGTGTTATTGGTGCCGAAGACTTGGGAAGTGGGTGTGAGGAGGTCTATTTATTGGCATCCATATGTTTTTAACTGAAAGAAATGTGTACCAGGATATAATGTTAAATGAGGGCATTTTAATGTTGTATTACCAGCTTTTTTTTGGTAAATTTTCATGTCATAGTTGACCGTTTATTTTCCTATAAGACTAATGTATGTACTCCCGTTCACTAAACATATGTAGACCTACTCTGGAGTGAAGTGAAACAAGTCACCTACTGGAACAGTAACATGTCGTCTTTATTGCATCATTCTGATGAAATCAGAAGAGGATACTGTATGTTTATCTTTCTCTGTGACAGGGCGGTTGTGGAAGTAGTATTTGTATCAAAAATGGACCCTGTCAGTGCTATGTTATGATGTGATTGGCTGATTGTCAGTGATGGACGTAACATGTAAGAGACTAATTTTAATTGCTTCATTAATGCTGAGCAGTTTAATCTGTAACAATGCATCATATTGAATGTTCTGAATGGAAAAATCTTATATAAAACATAAACAATAACTATAGCTGTTAAATAAAGTCTGAAATGTAGCAAAGTATAAAATGAAAATACTCAAATAAAGTACCTCAATTAATTACAGCACTTAAGTAAATGTACTTAGTTTCCACTACTGCCACAACAATGTAGTTGTACACAGACACATCTGATTATGTTGGTGTAAATGTGATATAGTGATAAATGTACACATTTGTGATTAAATCAGTGCATGCTGTATGCTATGAGATAAAAATAAATAGTTTGTTCTGAAATATAGATTTTTTTTGTTCCTTCATTTGTATTATGATGATTGTTGCCTTCACTGACCCCTGGAAAAAGAGCAGTCTAATGTCTCATGTCCTTCCTGTCCTTAATAGTGCCATTGTCCTGAGTGGGTGTTGCTTCCGGAGTAGGCGGCACAGACTCTAAGTTGTCCAAACTGTAGCCAGTCAACATTATAAGATGATCTACTGCACAGCATCGTGACCTGCTTGACAATGAAAATCACTTTTTGATATTCGTTATTTTGTTATTGACAGGGTTTGGCATGTTGCAGTCTGGCACTTGCAAGCTTGTTTGTACTGGGAGTGACTGCATAACTGTTAAGCAAGGCAGACTGGATTTTCAAACTGCTGAGAAAGCATGCCATGACAGGAATGGAGAACTAATGACATTTTAGCCTGAGACAGATAAAAGCATTGATACTTGATACTTTTGAGTCAAGAATTGCTTGGAAACTTCTGGATTGGACTTTATTTACCAGCTGGCATCTGCAGCGACCTTTCAGCTCCACTCAGGGTCTATGAGTGGACCTCTGGGAGCTCAGACTTTATTCCACCCTTCAGACCCTGGATAGACAGAGTTAAAGTTTGCTCTCCACACTGTGTGTCACTTTCAAATGATCAAAAGTGGACAAAGAGGCTATGCTCAGACAAAACAGATGGGTTTCTGTGCAGAACAAAGCACAAAAACACATGCCAGACACAAGAATCATCAGATCCAAAGTTTTTCCAAAGCTCGACAGGTTGTTCAGATGCCCCATGTGAACGTTACTGCATAAATGTAAAAGGACGGTATCAATGTTCTTGTTTTCCAGGATTTATCCCAGACAGTAAAAACCCCCGGCAGTGCATTTTGCACTGTGGACAAAAGAAATGCGCCGCGGTGTGTGACATAAACACTGGTGGTATGTGCCAGTGTCCAGCTGGCTTTCTAATAATTGATAAATTCTGTGAGGACATTGATGAATGTTCAATGAATGGATGCAATCAATACTGTAAAAACACTTTTGGAAGTTTTGTTTGTTCCTGCCCAGAAGGATTTGTACTTAAAGATCAAGTCAAATGCATCGAAGCAGAGGACAGTGAGAGTTTTGTCGTCACAACTCCTGTTGCCGAAGGTTTTATAAAACCAGCTGCAACTAATAATTCTCTGAGGGGTCCTTCTGCTGTGGCTGTGGTTGTGTTTATATTTGTGGTCAGGTTTCATGTTGTTAAGCGTCAGAAGCACAGAGAACAAAGTTCCAATCAACAGTCTACTGCTCCTGCTCCTTTGGACAATATTTAGTGTTATATTTAGTCCAAAAAAAATGATTTCACTGGTCACTTAGCATTTCTAGCTGGTGAGACATGTGTCCTCAGTTACATTTATGAGATGGCTGCAAGGATGTTAGAGTAATAAGCCTTTAAAAGCCAAAAGTATGATCGACTGAAGATGGACTAAATAAGTATCTGACTTACAGTGTTTGATAGATATATTTTAATTTGATTATTTATAATAAGTTCTATCAATGAAGGAAGTATGGCTCATCCATTCTTCTATATAAATATGCTATTTCATCTCAAACAGAGGTGAATCTGAATTTAAAATAGGTAAAAGATAATAAATATAAGCAATATAGTGTAAACTCTCCACATTTTTTGAAGTTTATAAACTCAGCATATGTTTCATAAGTAAAATGTTAAACTGTAATGCAAAGGTTAGGAACAACAATCAAATCAATGTGTACCAGTTGAGCAAAGTACAGTATTTTCCTCTAAAATGGATATGAGCAGAGAAAAGGTCTCATAAAATAGAACTCCTCAAATACAGGGCCAGTTCCTTAAAATGTTGTGTACTGTATTATACCTGAGTAAATGTATTGCACCATTTTCCAACTTGAAAGCATAAACATTCATATTTTTAGCATATACTGTACATGTAACTGTTTGTAACATGAGTTTTGAGGTTGTTTTGCTTGATAAGAGTTTTTATTTTTTGTGTAACAATGATGTAGGATTTAGTGACATTTAAAAGGCAAAGTAAAATATGAACCATTTTTTGTCATCATTTTTGTTTCCAGAGTGCCATCTACAGTCCTTATAAAGAAACAGAGTAACACTACAATCACACACAGAGCTTCCTGACCTCCCTGAACACATACACATACACTGACACCCTGAACTGGTTGTCACTTTGTCCGGCGAACAGAGCGACCAGCAGAAGGCAAAAGACAAAATAAAAGTCAGTACTTGCAATATCACAGCTTTTTTTCTATGTATATCTTGACGTAGTTTCTCACAGCTGCCACTAGATGTTAGTGTAAGGATATATTTATTACCGATTACTATCTGTGAATAACCGCAGGACAGCCACATCCTCGTAGTGCCAGAAACCTACCTATTATTTTGTTCAGTGCTTGGATCAATACAAGCCTGTCATCACTTCTCTCCTAGAAATGAAACACACCAGATAAGGCCTTTTATTAAACAGGATTCCCGATGTGAAATTAATGACAAAGCACCAAGCGCTTGGATTTGTTTAGGCTTAGTATTAGTGTCAGACAAAGTCAGTTGAGTAGTAAAGGAATCACACTCTACACATTCATCCAAGCCATGGTGCCCAGCAGGGAGTGCAGAGTGAGACTGTTTCACAGGGACACTTCAGTTGATAAACATCCTGGGATGCAAATATGTTTTATCTGTAAGGTACACCAGAAAAGGTCTGCATCGCTTTGCCAGAATTTGAGGCTTCACCATATCCAGGAAGGACATTACATTTAAAATGTGGACAAATGGGATGCTCTTTATCATTTTTCTCTTATTCAGGTTTCAATAAACATCATATTCATTTCCACTGAGACACTGTTTGACAAATACAGTCAGGGAAAAAATTATTTGAACCCCAGCTGATTTTGTAAGTTTGCCCACTAACAAAGAAATGATCAGTCTACAATTTCAATGGTAGGTTTATGTGAACAGTGAGAGACACAACAATAACAAAAAAAAAATCCAGAAAAATGCATTACAAAAAAAGTTGTACATTAATTTGCATTTTCATGAATGAAATAAGTATTTGATCCCTTTGCAAAACGTGCTTTAATACTTGGTGGCAAAACCTTTGTTGGCAATTACAGAGGTCAGACATTTCTTGTAGTTTGCCACAAGGATTGCACA